GCAAATGAAGTAGCCTTTATATATTCAAGCACAACATGTGTAGACCATAGCAGATTTGTTTATTTGATACAGTATTATTTACTGGATGATCATGTTTCCAGCATAAACTATCATTGCTGATGATCATATCTCAATGTATAATCACACCACTTTCGACATTTGATTTTTATAGTCCCGCCAACCAACTTCATATTCTTCATGTTTATTGCTAGTAAAATGTTCAATATCTCTGGTCTGTGATGAAAAAAGATTCAGTAATCAATCTCTCCACCTAATCATATTGAACCTGAGTGCAGTGGGTTTTTTCCTACTCCCTATTGTGTGTTAATGCATGCATAGCAGTAGCCAAGTTTTATTCTCTAAATTATTGATCCTTTTGAGGCCAGTTTTTCTATATTTATCTAAATTCCTATTTTTGGCTATTCTGACTCCGACCAGCTAGTTTCACCTATATACTTGACCTCACAGTCATTAGATGGAATTTGATCAATTAAATTATTTTGGTTAGTTAGATCTATCGGAGTGTTAAGTCAGCCGACAAAGCTTATCTCTGAATAAGTTTTCGGGTTTAAATGATACCCTCATTTCAGCTTTGTTGAGGATCCTAAGTAAAGTTTCTGATATACCTTCCTTATAGGGTAACACACAATGGAGGCTGTAAACTCCTTTCTACTTGTATTGTCGTTGTTATTATTTCGTTTCTTATGTGTTTGTAAGAATTTCGTAATAACACACCTTTATTAGAGATGTGGGAAATTTTACTACCAATAAAAATAAAGAATATGAGATGGGTGATAGGATTATAAAAATCGGATATTGAAAGTTGTGTGATCATATAGATATGATTATATGTATTCATCATGAACCGACATCAGTTGGAGAGCCTATGGAAAAACTAGGAGGATTGGACAGTTATTTCTTTCTAGTGTGGGTAGGACTCCTCAGTGGTATGTACCCATGACATCCCAGGGATAGGACTCAAGACGTTCAAGCCCTACAACGAACACTTTAGCCATTCACCTATTGGATCGGAATTCAGTGGTCCATAATTTCTTATTTCTATCATTTCACTGTTCATTGCTCACAGATTTTCAGTGGTTCTCTAAGTGTTGTCAATTCGTAATGAATACTATCCTAAAAGATAATATTATATCAGTAACTATGTGCTGTATATCAAATCAGTAAATTGCCCAACAGATATGCAAAAGAAATTGGAGATACACTGAGAAGATTATTTGAGAGGACATCATGCACTAGGTCAAGGCCGTCAAGTGGAACGCAAATGGGAACCGATGAGTTGAGCGTCTAACGTGAGGGTGACATGCAGGAGATGGTGTGAAAAAGAAATGAAGGCTTCTGGGCAGTATTGGAACCAGGTTCAGAAAACTGCAGAGAACAGAGTGAAGTAGTGATGTGCTACTGAAGCTCTAGTAACTCTACAAGGAGCCAAAAGGAGAAATAATAATAGTAATAATGAAACAGTAAGGAATTATGATCTACCACAATGCCCAAGTTTTACACTTACATTAAGGTGTAAGTTATAGGATAGTTAATACATCTATATCGGATTAAGTTGCATAATTGATATCAGTTAGTAAGCGAGATATTCAGAAACAACAATGAAATAGTCAAGAAAAGATTAAGGTTCTATGGGTTGTTGGAGATAGTAAGAATCCTGCTACAGCTCAAATTTTCATTCCACCTTCAATCAACATCCAGTATCACTACAAGTCTACCAAACTATGATTATCTCAGAGAGTCAAAGTGGGAATCACCGCAGTGTAGATATTCAAAACTAGGCATATAGACAAAAAGGATCAACCTAGAAGAATAGACAATAATGCATTTTGATGTGAAGTTTCGAAAGTTTATGGACTGAAGCAATTTAGACCCATGGTCTACTATGAAGCATTACGCTAGCCATAGTGGGATAACCATAAGAGTATAATTTGAATGCTTTATCAGCGTCGAATTCTGTATTGATACGGGATTATTTTGCCTTTATGACATATCAGGCACGATTTATTTCTTCTTCATAAGTATATTATACTGTCTACTCAGTTCTCCTGTTCGGTGTACAGAGTTCTAGTATCTCCTGTGTTTTTTTCAATTCTAATGGTAGTGTAGATAACGAGAAGACAGAGACACAGGAAGGAATGTTTATTACTGACATATTGTACAGCAGTCATAAAATACTATTCACCTTCCACTATGACGGTCATTTGCATAATGTGCTGCATTTCCTGTTCTGTTTCTTTCCTGATATGCTCAAATTGTCTCTTGAATTTCTCTGGGCAGAATCTTTATCTATTGTTGGTAATTGCTTATAACTTCTGCCATCTTCCCGACATATACTACTGATATACATTCTGATGAGCAACGCTTACTAAAGTAGTACAATATTCCAAACAATTGGAATCGGTATTGATTTATTCCTAGTAAATATGTTAAGCATTGATTCAATAAACACGAATTCAATTAAAAAACCTATCTCTATACTTAACTATTCAAGTTTTAACGTGTGATACCATGTCACACCCTATTGTGATCATCGTGAGAAAATTGTGGGCAATAATTTGTGCTAGAAATGTTATCCAGTAAACAATACTGTAACACATAGTGTGATATATCAAATAATCGTATCTGGAGGTTTGTGGGAATTTATTAATTGATTTCAGGCTGGTATTCATCGTGGACTCACATCAGTTGGAGGAACATTGGAAACTTTGGAGCACTGCTGAGGAATCTCGTACCAGGGTGAAACAGATGCTGTCTAGTGCTTCTAGGTTTCAAATGTTCCTCAAACTGATATTAATCCATAATGAATTCCAACCTAAAGTATATCGAATAAACATATTTATTGGATGTACATACTATTTTGTCACCCATGAAATCTCGAAGATGTTATTCAGCTTCATCTGCTTAGTTCCACTGATGCAGAGTTGTACACTACGAAATACACACACAGCCACCTTGTACAGATTCATTCAGTAGGTAGTAACGTATACCTGTTGTATGGAGGTCAGTAAATACTACCTGACTGCTCAAGTCCTGATAGGTGGAGCGGGGTTCGAACCCATGGAAAGTCAACTACGATGATTTGTCTCGACCTGAAGGCGGCATTCTATTCAGTTAATCGAGGTCTTATGGCAATGTCTCTCACTAAAAGGCATGCCGAATGAGTACATCATCTTATTGAAGGCTCTCTACCCGAACACTTGTGATCATCATCATCATCATTATCAACATAGGACCAGGCATTACTGCGTAACGGTCCGAGTTGCCACACCTCATATCAGCACATCAAGTAAAAAGGTAGTGAGGTGAAGGATGAAGATAAGTGAATGCAGTCAAAAGAAATATAAAGTATGAGAAGAAAGGAAAGAGGAGTGACAAAATAGTGAGATTCGGCATAGCGTTGTTAAGATGAGGATAATGTGTGTATACATCTGCGCCACTGACTTCGGTTCTGAGCCATATCACCTAGGGTCTCCAACCACTGGTTCCTCTTGTCCCGTGGACCCCAACCACCTAGTCTGCATCGTCCTACATGGCTTAAACCAACAGTCAGAGACTTCATACATTGGTGCCATGTTTTAGTCTGGCCACCTCGGGCCTTTTTCCAGCCTGAACCCACCTCAGCCAACATTGTGTGACGAGGCAATCGGTGAGCGTGTGTTAGAACCTATGGTGAGATATCCGGGAAGCTGTACTCGACAAGTAGCGTCCGTCAACGCTGCTCACTCTCCATTCTTATTCAGTTTTATCAGGAATATGAAGGTCTGCCTCTCGTCACCTGACTACACAGACTGACATAATCGCAGTATAATTTTCGTCAGACCTAGAATATGCGGATGACATAGTCGTGTTAGGTGAAGACACTGACAAGATGCAGTCTTCTGAACACTTTGAGTAGCAATTTTATAATGTCTGGGGTGCGTTTCTCATCACCCAAATGCAAATTGTTACTCCAGGATTGGTCTTCAACAGTGCCCCACCACTGCTAACAACAGAGAGTATGGTGGTTGAGTGTGTCGACCACTTCACTTACCTGGGAAGTAGGATCAGCCCCAGTGGCTGGCTCAGTGGCCGATGAAATCTTTGCACAAATACAAGGGGCTCGACTGGCTTTCGCCAACTTACGCCACCTGTGGCGCCGCCGTGATATTCGATTGTCTATTAAAGGTCACATGTACTTCACCTGCACAGCAGTGCACTCTGTCCTACTGTATGCCTGTGAAACATGACAACTGAAGGTAGAAGAGATGAGAAGGCTTGAAGTATTTGACCACCATTGTCTTCTTAGTATAGGCCGTATTGCATGGTGTCACCATGTGAGTAACGCACAAGTCAGGTGTACAGTTTTAGGGAGAAGAGATAAGTCAGTTGACACGGTTGTAAACCTTCATCGAATGAGATGGTTGGCTCCGACATGTGTTGTTATGTATGCCTAGTCGCCGATTACCTCGTCACACAATGTTGGTCGAAGTAGGTTCAAGCTGGATAAACGCTCTGGTTTCTCGGCCAGACTAAAACATGGCATCAATGTATGAAGTCTCTGACTGTTGGTTTGAACCATGTGGGGTGATGTAGACTAGCCGGTTGGGGTCCGCTGGACAACAGAAACTAGTGGTTGGAGACTAACTATGGGTGATATAGATGAGAACCGATCACAGTGGCTGCAGATGTATCCTCACACACATTATCCTCATCTTAACGACTCTATACCGAATCTCATCATTTTCTCTTCTTCACGTTGGACTTCATTGCCTTTTTACTTGATGTGGTGATATGAGCTGTTGCACCTTGTACTATTATGCAGTAATGCCTAGTCCTATGTTGATGTATGATGATGATGAATACTTACACCTTCAGATTAACATACATTTAGTGGAATTGTTTACAGTCTGTATATATAACTATGGATCATGAGAAAGCTAATGCATCTTTCCTGCAAGCACCTGATCGGATATAAAATGTAAATCGAAGGAGACAGATATGCTCAAATGTGATAGTGAATTGTATTATTCTTCAGTACAACATGAGGCATTGTGGGTGTGTGTGTGTGAATCACACAGTTGATTATCACTGAAAGTATCCACAAAAGAAAAACATAGGATAGTTAGAAAAGTTGAATTTCCTTCAACAAAGTTGAATAATAATGACGATGATGATGATAACGGTGGTGAACTTTATTCACTCTAAAACAAACGATGCATCTTTTGGTCAATATTATTCAACTTAAAATGGACAGACAATATAAAGATAATCTCGAAAACAAAACAAAAAGAAAGAAAGAGAGATGTATACACAAGCAAGTAAAACGCATTGAAAAACAACAACAACAACAACTTTGTAACATAAGCGTAAACTAAAAAAAATTAAAAGGCTGAACATATAATTTCTGCGTTAATTATCAAATCAACAGAACTAGTGAAATGAGATGTGGTAGCATGAAGACGAGGAAATAATGAACACACACACACACACAAGAGAGAGAAACAACGTATGTGTACAAGATTGGAGAATATAAAAACGATATGTGCGTGTGTTGTACATAATAAGCGAAGCGGTGTACTACTCTCTCTCTCTCCCTTAATTACTTCACTACATTCTTCTTCATAATACAGCTGACAATTGTTACAGTTCCTCATAGATACGAATATTTTCTGCATATATTAGCAACACATCTCTCTGTCTTCATAAGAGAAAATATAACGATTAACCAATAAAGCACATTATTCAAACACACTCAATGCCTAGTCAATTACTTCATAAGAAGAATTATTTGTAAATATGTTAATACTACTAATAATGAAATGAGTAGTGTTCAAAGTTGAACAAATAAAGTGAAATAATATAAAAATAATTCATAATATTACAACTTCATATAATTTTGAAGTTGGTAGATTAATATTTCGAAATTATTTTCTATTTATTTAATAAATATTTTCAAAGGAAGACATAATGTATAAGTATGAAATGTTCTTAAGTAAAAATTCAATGAACAACCCTTTGATTACATAACAGGTTTTGTATATGTGTATGGCTGTGTCAGAGAGAGAGAGAGAGAGAGAGAGAGAGAGAGAGAGAGAGAGAGATGAATCGATAGACAAGTGTTGTAAGAATCAGATTTTATTAGACATTTCAACAAAAACACTAACTCTTATGTACTACTACAACACAATATGATAGAAAATAAAGAGAGATAAACTGAGAATAAAGAAACTTTATTATCTATTATATACTGGAAGCTGTTTGAATAAAAGTAGAATAATTTATCCATACACTTTGTAAATCAACACAACTATTACAATTACGATCCACTAGGTGTACCAATAATACGAATAAGAACTTTTGCATAACCATGTAGTTCTGATTCAATGGGAACTTGTCCAGGAGCTGGTGGAGAATTCTTTATTTTAAAAAAAATGAAAAAAAGATACAGTATATGAAGCAATAGTGATGTATTGAATTGTGTGAAACTGCAGAATAATGAAAATGTTTTAGAAAAAAAAAACAACTGTTAGTTAGTTGAAGGTAAATCGGTAGGAAGCTCTATCTCATCTAGGTTTTGTATATGTTATCACTCGTTAGCAAGATGTATCTGCAACCTCAACGGAATTGATGTCTTGCCTGAGATTCAAATCCACATCACCCAGTCTTGTAGTCAGTAACTTTATCACGTCACGATTCACCTCCTGTAGGACCGGGTTACATGTATTGATTGGTTGTGACAGTGCAACCAATTTCATCTTGTCTAGTCCCGAGTTCAAATCGAATCTTATCGATCATGTTTACAATGTGACTACTAAGCTCGGCCTGAATCGCTCGATGATAAAGTTGCTGACTATAACATTGGGTAACGCGGGTTCAAACCTCGGGTGAGATATCAGTTCTGTTGCAGTTGGGGACACACCTTGCTGATGAGTGCCAACAAGCACGAAACCAAGGTCTAGTAGGACTTCCTACCGACTGTCTCCAACAAACTAACATCTACTAAACGTGTACCGCGATGCTGAGCCTCCTAGCTTGGTGATCACATTGCAAATATGATCGACAGGATTCTGTCTGCACTCAGGATTAGATAACATGAAATTAGTTGTACTCCCGTGACTAATTAATAAATTAAAAAACTTTCTACTGCTCGTTGGTGAACAGTTTCGATAGATGATTTCTGAGGTTCCAATGAGCCAAACCAGGTGGACGTGAGGACAAATACACAACGATGACGCAACCTCAAGGTCCTGGGTTTGATCCCCGGAGGGTAGGGTCATGAGTGTGCACTGCTGAGGAGTCCAAATGTTAGGACGAAATAGCTACTGTTCAATGCTTCCAGGTTTCCAATATTCCTCCAACTAATATCAGTCTATGATGAATACCAATCCCAGAGTAAAACCAACCATTAATCGTACTTAGCTAGTCAGTCGGATGTACTAATATTTTAATCAGCGTGGAGTTGCGGTTTATTGGTTTAAGCATTTACTTTCCAACCAACTAGGTTACAGGGTGGAATGCTGTTCCACCTATCAAAGTCTCTGTAATCAGGTGGCTACAAGTGGAGTTCAACTTTCGTTTTAATCAACATTGATCACAAACACAACTTTAAAAATGTAATGATTAGAGGCCTATTTTACTCAGCATATCGTTTAACATTAAACACAAAAAGGTATACACCTTAAAATAAGAGTAAACTCAGGCATCGCGGTAGAATGTAATTCCCTTCGAGTTAATGTATTATTACATTTGTATCACACAGTGAAGGAACAGATGTATCGTTTACTGGATTACATTTTGGACACCATTTAGGTTTTGGTTGATATTGGTGCAAAATCTCTCTTGTCTACTTTGTGATATAGGGGTAGTAAGATTTTCGATATATCGGAAACAGGTGCTGAGTCATTCACTCCTCTTGAATTTGTTTGATGAAGGGGAAGTAGTGAACTATCTTTAACAAAATGGGAATTTAAACACTCATGTCTACAGAAAGGCTTCACATTATTATCCGTTCTTAGACTTCTGATCATCTCAGCATATGTCAGTCATGGTTGTGTTGGTGAAATCCCTAAGTAACAGGGCCAGAAAAGTTATCGGTAAGTTAGAATATCTAGGACAGGAAACCAGATACTTTAGGGACTAGTATTAGGAATCCAGGTGTTGATAGTAAACCTGCAAACTCACTGATCAACAAGCTGTGCAGGTCAACAGATCGTCTTGATTCAATTAGGCAAAATAAGTTTATTTATCGAATCCCCTGAAACGATTAAGATGTAAAATACTCATTTCAAAGTAGTCATCCACGGTCAATTAGTCTATCCGAGCACAAGCACTTGGCCACACCAAAATTGGTAGATAAGGAATCTGGTAGAAAAGCTCAGCCATAGTTATGCATGCAGTTACACACAATCACATAATAGAATGATAGAGGGAGTGTAATACTCGTTAAAAGTAATCTAGTGGGGTGGAGGGAGAGATTGATAACTGAATCTGTGTTTATCGAATCAACATGGAATATACATGACTCTGCACTTGTTCCAGATACATGGGAAATAACTACTATTTATAACCGAAACGTAATCGAGTAAGTGATACTGTTCCTTCAGTGTGTGATATATCCAATAAATCAATTCAAGTGGAGTCACATTCTAAGATAGTACCGAAGTTTTACTCTTTTATTAATCTTGTATATTATAGGAGTAGAACTTGGGCATGGTGGAAGATTGCAATTTCCTTCGAGTTGATGTATTATTACATTTGTATCACACAGTGAAGAAAGAGATGTATCGTTTACTGGATTACATTTTGGACACCATTTAGGTCGTGCACAGTCATATGAAGACAATTAAGCGTACAACTTTGAGATATGCTTTATATTGGTGCAAAATCTCTCTTGTCTACTTTGTGATATAGGGGTAGGGGTAGATTTTCAATATATTTATACTGGATGATGATTGAAAGTGAAATGAAAATTTGGATCGTGTGCAAACTCGAACCAGTGACCAACGGATTACCGGTCCGATGATCTACCAACTGAGCTACGACCTCTGACTGCTGTTCAGATGTTTATTTCACTTCAATCACCAAGGGTTTTGCCCGACTACCATGTGAATTTGTGATGCGTTACTATCACTGGCTTCTATTCACAGTATAAATACTAGTCTGCCAAACTACGGCTATCTCAGATAGTCAAATGATAATTTTCTATATATATCCGAAACATGTGCTGAGTAAGTCCTGTTGCATTTGTTTGATGAAGGAGAACTAGTAATGTTGGATTGAAGTATCAAGTGAAAACAAAACGGGAGTTCAGACACTCATGTCTTCAGAAAACCTTCACACTATTATCCATACTCAGACCTCAGATCTTCTTATCCCATACGAATTAAAGTTGCCTTAGTAAAATGTCTGAGTACCAGGGCAGCAAAACTTACTAGCAAAACAGATCTGAGACAAGCAGCCAGATGTTTTACGGACTAATATTAGTTACACTGGTGTTAATAGTAGTAATAATAATGTTAATAATAGTAGTGACAATATCATGAAGAGAGAATTCAAAACCTCTACAATATTACCATACAAAGAAGGCGACTCAGACGCACTACGTAGGATTAGAGTAGCATTGAAACCGACAAATTCACTTAGAAATAAGCTTTTTAGGTTAAGGGGATCCATTGATCCAATTAGACAGAATAACTTAGTTCACCGAATCCCTTGCAATGATTGGTACTCGACCGAGATTGGTAGACTCTAGCCAAGTATGCCATCAAACATAACTATATAGTAATATGGAACAGAGTAACATTTTTTAAAACTAACTTAGGTGGATTGAGAGAATGACAATCAAATCTTTATCTTGTCAACACTAAATACGATCAATGGGAATCATTCTTGGGGAACTTAACCAGGTGTAGTTTATACCTCCCTACACGACTCAGAGAGACTCTATCAACTGATGTCAACTTTCTTCCAATCCAATGCTATTTCAGTTACTGTTACGAATGTCTACATCCCTTATACAGTCTGGGTATATTTGAACCGTTTTACTTCGTACTCTTTTTCCCACGTTTAGGTTATATTTCGTATGACCCGTTAGCGTTCTGATTGGCTTCTGCCTCTTTAAATGTACTAATTATTTATTGTCTTTCAAGGTTACTGTAAACTCTATAAATAGGGTCCATTTTCACTCAGAAACGTTTTCAGTCCGAGATACTATAAACTCAGTTGATATCCAGTCTTTTGATTTCTCTTTGAGAATCACTCGAGTTGAATTGCTTTAACCCTCGACTATCAATCGTTAAGTATTCTCGTTCGTTCTCGAAACTCCGTACAGAGGGTAGACAGTGACTCGGCTTGAAGGTTCACAAACGTATCGACTAACTTGCCTAGTACTCCATCTACACCTAACCATGACATTGGGCACACGGTGATCAATGCGGTGAATACACCTATGGTCAAAAGCCTGTAATTTCATCATATTTCCTACTTCCAATGGTCATCTCTCACAGTCATATGATAAGATAGAGTGAAATGCAGTACAGAATACTCTTCTTTAATAGGTAGTCGCATATCTCTCACCATTACCAAAAATGATACGGTTTAGTAAATGCCAAATGGGCTATTTGTACTCAAGCTGAGATTTCGCCAGCAGACAGACAGATTACCGTAGCATCTGGCAATAAAATACAACCCATCTGATATGATGCGACGCCCTAAGACGTTCACAAGAGCTTGCGTTTCGATCACATTTTCACTACGTCATTGGGTGAAGCGAATGTCCTCATAGAGGTGAGATATTTCTACGAAGTCCAGAGCACCCGTGGTTTTATCCATCAGCAAAGTTGAACTAAAATGATTACAAAGCGTATATTTTGTCGGATGTACAACGGATTGCTATCACTTTTGGACGACAATGAGAAGTTGTTCAATCGTATCCATTGAGACCTTGAGAAATTCTAACACTGTAACATTCTGAGTGAACTATGTTCCAATGAACAAAGTAAGATTAGTTTTATTAACGTTCGACCTCACATGTTTACATCAGCTGATAAAAGTCATACTATGTTCAATTCTAAGCACCTGCCTATTGTAATCCAACTACACCTGATAATACAAATCGTATTCAAAAATAAAGGAGAAATGTTATCTAACCTACCAATGGGAAAACACGTTCACGAGCTGCTGGATTACTAATCAATTCACTCATATGGTGGGCAACTAAGAAATCAAACAAAAAAGGGGGGAAAAAGCATATAATAAAACGAGAATAAAAGGAACTGATATAAAATTTCACTAAGGCAAAATAAGAACTATTTCATAGGAAAGTTAAATGGTTCAAGTATATTTGGTGAGAATAACAAGGCCGGTGGTGATGGTGAGGAGTGGGCAGTGTGAAGCGAATTTCCTGACTACATCGTAACATGAGACAAAAATACAAAAGTTCGAAATAATCATACACAAAAGATTGCGAGTGACAGGCCTCAAGCAGATGTTCGATGGACTCTGCGGCCACAAAAATCTCTTTCAGGTATCTTAAGAAGAAATTGCCTTCCACGGTATGGGCAGCCGGGAAGTGTCAACCACCTTCACAACTCTGTCAGCACTCAAGTTTCCTCAGACTGCTATCCACCTCCCACATCATTGTCTTCTAATCTTCCTTCACGTCTATCAATTAACGATACTACATCATCGTCTATTAGGAGTCGCGTGTACTGCACAGCAGCAGTATGCTCTGTTCTACTTTACGGCTAAGAAACATGACAACTGAAGGTAGAAGAGATGAGAAGGCTTGAAGTATTTGACCACCATTGTCTTCTTAGTATAGGCCGTATTTCATGGTGTCACCATGTGAGTAACGCACAAGTCAGGTGTACAGTTTTAGGGAGAAGAGATAAGTCAGTTGACACGGTTGTAAACCTTCATCGAATGAGATGGTTGGCTCCGACATGTGTTGTTATGTATGCCTAGTCGCCGATTACCTCATCACACAATGTTGGTCGAAGTAGGTTCAAGCTGGATAAACGCTCTGGTTTCTCAGCCAGACTAAAACATGGCATCAATGTATGAAGTCTCTGACTGTTGGTTTGAACCATGTGGGGCGATGTAGACTAGCCGGTTGGGGTGGGCGGGACAAGAGGAACTAGTGGTTGGAGACTAACTATGGGTGATATAGATGAGAACCGATCACAGTGGTGCAGATGTATCCTCACACACATTATCCTCATCTTAACGATTCTATACCGAATCTCACCACTTTCTCATTCGTCCTTTCTTTGTTTTAGTACTTTATATTTCTCTTGACTGAATTTTCTTTTCTTCACGTTGGACTTCCCTGCCTTTTTACTTAATGTGGTGATATGAGCCTTGGCAACTCAGAGGGTTACGCAGTAATGCCTGGTCTTATGTTGATTTGCATGGATGGATGGACTATCAATGCTTCAACATTCATTAGTAACGATTTCACAACGTATACTGACTACACACAGGTGTTAAGTCTATACACTATCCAGTTGGTTGTTTATCCAGAGGAGAGAGAATGAATATCAATAGTTGTAGTGATGAACACTTTGTCATCTTCAGACCATCTGATCAGTAGTAGAAGTTCTTCTTCAGAGTGATTACCAGAGTGTCTCTGTATAATTCTTAAGTTCTCCTGGATTGCTTATACATAGCCGAATAATCAGTGATTTACAACCTTAAGGCTTAACCTTCAAAAAATATCACATGGATTTACAAGTCTTATTATACCCAGAGTATTGATTTCTTTGTGTTTTTAGAAACCTTTTTATTCAACTCTTAAACATTAGTGTAATCGCATGAAGCTATTGATTAGTTATAAAGGTCTTTGTTCTATGAAAGTTCTGCTAATCAATCAAATGAGGGACAAGTAACTAATAGGAGAGTTAATTGATTTTGGAAACGATTATTACTTCAATCAAGATTGGAAATTCGCCAATTAACCAACTTCTCATCCATGAAAACCACTAAGCAAATTTATTAATGAGTGAAAACAGATAGAAGTGTCATATGTACTACTTATAAGATCATGTATAAGTAGTAAACGAAGTGATTTCTCTGGAGGGGACAAAAATCACAGTTGGAATTCAGTCAGCAAAGACTTAAGAGAACGAACTAAGAAGTATTGAAAGAGAATGCAGAAGATAAGCAGCAGAAGATGAAGGACAAGCCATTTATTAGTCACTTTATGTTATCTAGTCCTAAGTACTGACCGAATTTCATCAACCATTTCGCACTGTGGTCACCAAGCTGGGAAACTTCCTATCGTGATGCACTGAAATAAATGATAGTTGGAGATAATCAGCAGAAGGCTCTGCTTCACCTACATTTCGTGCTTGTTGACACTCATCAGAAAGGTGTATCTATAACATCGACAGGACTCATTTTACGCCATGAGTTCGAACCCTCACCATACGATGTCGCAACTGAGCTATTCGGACAGTGAGTGCTCCACTACAGGGTTGAATTAAGTAGATATTTTAGTGTCTGGAGATTAGTTATCTTGCCTTGTCCTATGTGGTTATCCAGTTAGGAAACTGATCATTGCGATATACCGTCAAGGCTGTAGATACGCCATTACTGATGAGTGCCAAAAAGTTCGAAACTTAAGTGTACATGGCTTTCTGTCGATTGCCTCTATCTAACGAAAAACAATATTTATTTTAAATATGGAATGTACAAATTGTTTCGTATGAAATATGTTCAGTTTAAGGTTTTTAAATTATTTTTATTTTTAAACATTAGTCTTGTAGTCAACACTAGTACCTTACAAACAATGAACATTTTTATCAATGATGTAATTTTCATGTTACCATTTATCCTTCAATCAAAGGGGGGGGGAGGGCGAGGTTAAACAAATAAATTCACTTGTAATCAACTGAGAAATAATATAATTGATATGTAATAAATAATGAATATTGAATGAAAACCAATTTATCATAATTAACATTCAGGCAATATCCACGTATCCGCATAGGAGTCTATATACCAATAAAGGTAGAGTAGTTCGAACCAACACAACAACGGAGAATAACAAGTACGTCAACAAATAATAATAACTCAAATCATGTTCTATTTATACGCATAAACACATACATACATACATACATACATACACACGGATAAATTTGCTCCACAATGTGTTTCTAGCGATATTTACATATTATATCATTAATGATAATATGATAAAATGTACAGATTTAACATGAGAGTGATCAATGTAAACTCTGCATATATATATATATATATATATATATATATATATATATATATATTTGTATACATATAACCTCAAACGACCTTTTGATTCAGTAAAACAATAAAATTAAATTTCTGTAATAATCATGGAGAAAAGTTATGAAAAAAGTCATATGTATAAAACGTGATATAATAGTTTTTATTTGCCTTTGAAATGGTGGTGATTTATTCAATTGTATTGGAGGTGTGTTCTGTTCTACTGTATGGCTGTGGAAGATATAAGAAAGCTTCAAGTGTTTGACCACCGTTGCCTTCGTAGTATAGGACGTATTGCGTGGTGTCACCACATGAGTAATGCAGAAGTCATATGTAGAGTTTTAGGGAGTAGAGGTAAATCAGTAGACGAGGTTATAAACCTTCATCGATTGAGATGGTTGAGACATGCACTACGTATGCCTAGTCGCTGATTGTCACGTCACACAATGTTGGCCGAAGTAGGCCCAGGCTGGATAAAGGCCCGAGGTGGCCAGACTAAAACATGGCACCAATGTATGAAGTCTTTGATTTGGTTTGAGTCATGTGTGGCAATGCAGACTAAGTGGTTGGGGTCCACGGGACAAGCGGAACCAGTAGTTGGAGACTCTAGGTGATATTGCTCATAACCTATGTCAGTGGCCCAGATGTATACACACATATTATCCGCTATATGCACGCTATATGCATTTACCATTTTAAATTGTTTAAGCGATTAGGTTTCGCTTGTCATTCACAGATTTGCTGCCCACGCATGCACTCTGTTTTGGTAAAGACCTGTATGTACGCTGATCTTGAGTTGGTGAATCCAGGCTGCAGCATTGAGCCAGTAATTCATGCGCAGACAAATCCATAAGGGTTACTGGAGAACTGTATATAATCTATAGATATATGAAACACACAACATCTGTAGATTTCTATGCTATTTATGACCAGAAAAGGAAGTAGGATTGAATAGTGACTACCAGTGGAATCGAAAATATGCATTTTCTTCTTATTTTGCCTGAATTAGTGAGTGGCATATATACCTACTTCTCAGCGAGTGAACACATCAACAGAATTTCGTTAGCTTATAAAACTTGACATGAAATTGGTTAATCTTTAGTGTAACAAACCTGGTAGTAGTTCGATAGTCGTCTGAATACATCAGTGAAAACGATCCTGACTGCAGAGTTGAACGAAATAAGCCCAACTCTTTTGACAGGGATATGAGTTCCCCACTCACGGTTGCAGACGAGTGCCACGACCCAAGAGCTTTATGCCGATTACCTCCAGCCATAGAGTTGTAGCTCAGTGGTTCAAGAAGATAACTACCAACTAATGGGTTACGAGTTCGAATCTCTCTCCATCTACTTCTCATACAGTACGTATAGGCTAATTGCCTACTGTACAGATATGTATAAGATGGTTAAATGCGTTTCGTTCGACTTCCACAATCATAGGAAAGCTGAAGGAGACATTCAGGGTGAAATTTGATCAAGACTATATATATATATCGTCAAAATCAAAATAGGACCAGGCATTACTGCGTAACCCTCTAAGTTGCCAAAGCTCATTTCACTACATCAAGTAAAGCGGAAATGAAGTGGAAGATGAAGAAAAAAATTCAGTCAGAACAAATATAAAGCACTCAAAGAGAGAAAGGAAGGATAAGAAAATGGTGAGATTCGGTATAGAGTCGTTAAGATGAGGGTAATGTGTGTGGGGATACATTTGCACCACTGACATCGGTCTTCAGCCATATCACCTAGAGTTAGTCTCCAACTACTGGTTCCTGTTGTCCCACAGACCACAACCGGCTAGTCCACTTCGCCCCACATGGCTCAAACCAACAGTCAAAGCCTTCATACATTGGTGCCGAGAAACCAGAGCGTTTATCCAGCTTGAACCTACTTCGACCAACATTGTGTGACGGAGCAATCGGCGACTAGGCCTACATAACAACACATGTCGGAGCCAACCATCTCATTCGATGAAGGTTTACAACCGTGTCAACTGACTTATCTCTTCTCCCTAAAACTGTACACCTGACTTGTGCGTTACTCACATGGTGACACCACGCAATACAGCCTATACTAGGAAGGCAACAGTGATCAATCACCTGAAGCCTTCTCATGTATTTCACCATACGGTAGAACAGAGCATACTGCTGCTGTGCAGTACACGCGACCCTTAATGGACAATCGGATATCAGTTCAACTACACAATAAGGTAGAAACTTTCAACAACAATGATAAGAAAGAAAAGATGAAAGTAAACAATAAATGTATAATTAGTAGTGTATACACATTTTTAGACTAACCTAATAGTAAATCACAACCATCCAATAGATCAGCTTCGACTAGTTCACGTGCCAAAACATCAGCAGAATCTAATAATAATTGATTGACAAACAGAATAAAAACAGTAAATAAGTAGTTTGTTAGTTAAATCAACAGATGGATAGATAATTTGCTGTAATTGTTCATTAAACGTTAAACAGATCATGTATACATGCATTTTCATCAATAGTGCAATATAAATTTACAAGAGATGATAAAGGAAGAAATTTACAACAAAAAAATACACAAAGTTGAGAGATTGATTGTTACAAATTTATAGATGTATAAATATCTTTTTTTTGTTTTGTTTATTAAGTAGTAAGTTCAATTAGATTGTAAATTAATAGACAATTTGATTGGTATCTTTAACCAATGAATCATGTCGACTTGAAGTCAGCCAGCTAGCCAGTCAACCAACAGCCAGAAATATCATGAACTGATGCTACCTATATCTTTATCTCATCTCCATTAGTTTTCTCCAAAACCAGTCTTATTTCCATTGATCAGGTTAAGTAATAGTTAAGTATTCAAGTCGATTCAGTCGATGAAAACAAATTGGCAAAGGCCAATAGAGTGTCTATTATCCGTGAACAGATTCTGTCAATCATTGGGTCCATCACAGCTAGTCATACTTCATAAGTAAATGAAGTTAGCAGTCATTAGCCATTTCACTCCCTATTGTTAAAAACAAGGCATCAGTGAAGGTTAGTTTAGGAGTAAAAATGTACATTTTGATAATGAGAAGTGAGCCCGAAATATTCTTAAATCGTCATTCAAGATGTCCAGTAAACTCTGTATCTTCATCTAACACAAATATGTCATCTGCATATTCTGGTATGACAAGTTAAAAATTTTATGAGGTCAACGACAAACAACTCACCATAGGCTCTAGGACACTCATGGGTGTTGGAGTACAGAGTCTACAACAGGGTTGTGTACACACCTGACACTCTTCAGTGAGAGACACTGCCATCGTCGGAGTCGAATACTAACATCACGTCATCATCATTATCATCGAGATCAACATAGGACCAGACATTACTGTGTAACGCTTCAAGTTGCCACACATTATATCAGCCCATCAAGTAAAAAGGCAATAAAAAGGAAGATGAAGAAAGAAAGAAAAGCAAGTCAAAGGAAGTAGAAATAGTAAGAGGGGGAAAGGAAGAGAGAGATGATGAAATTAAGTATAGCGTCGTTAAGATGAGGATAATGTGTGTATACATCTGCACCACTGACGTAAGTTCTGAGTCATATCACTTACATTCAGTCCCCGACCGCTGGTTTCCCTTGTCTCCTGGACCCCAACCGGGTATTCTGCATCGTCCTACATGGTTCAAACCAACAGTCAACAGCTTTATGCATTGACGCTATGTTTTAGTCTGACCGCCCCAAGCCATTTTCTAACCTAAATCTACTTCAGCCAACACTATGCGACGAGGCAGACGGTGGTTAGGCATACATAACATATATCTCAGACATCTCAACCGATGAAGGTTCACGACCGCATCTAACTGTTTTACCACTCCTACCTAAAACTATAGGCAGGAGGGATATAGGAATAAAGGTCGTGTCAAGTACCGACAAGTGTGTCTATGTTACGGAAACTGGCGGATGGTGAAAACATAGACGACTAGATCTGAAACCTGTCTAGTTTCTCAAGTTACATCTGTTCAAGATTTACTTACGCCTCTAGCGATTATAGAACTTGAGATCTTAGACACTATATTCATCAGATTGATTCCCCTGTGATTATCACAGGAGAATTCTCCTTCTTTCTTGAAGATTGGAATAATCACAGAACATTGTATCTGATTTCCACAAGTTAGGTAACACTTTAGTCAATCCAACAAATAATTTTCGATCACAAACCTCAAATACCACTAGTGCTAACACATAGGGCCTGAAGTCTTATCTGGTTTCACATAAATTACAGCCTTCCTAACTTTTGTAACAGTTGGAGAGTTTATCTCACTCAGTGTTCATTCAGGATCTGGCTGGATGACAAGCAAAGGAATAGTAGATAAAGGTCAGTTGAAGTGTTCCACTCAACATTTCAATCGTCTGTCCTACTAGTGCATGGCAAATCATCATCCTCTGCTTTTTTCATAACACAGTGATGGCATCAAGCTTTTTGTGGATGAGTAACGTTGTCGAATTCCGATAATTGTCCAATCACTTTCTCATTAAATGTAGCCTTAGCATTTTAATCATCAAGCTGCGTTTCATGACGTACATTAAGGCACAGACGTATGCGTGCTGAAATAAAAACATGATACCTGGTTCAAATACGTGCTCCAGAAGGAGCTGCAATCAATTGCCAATGCTCTCCAGCGACAACTGATAGTCAGTAGATGCCACGTGAGACAATAAAAGTGCTGGTCAGAAATAAGTAGTTCTTTGAGCATAGTTGTAGTGAGCGAAATTCCAAGTGCTACTGTCAGAATTAAGCCTAACCACTTGGGCATTGAAATCATCTGCTACGACAATTATATCCGAATACTTTGGCTTTTATTAGTAAACTAGGTGGCTTTTGGTAGAACCCATCCTTCACTTCATCCGAGCTGCAGTTAGTGGTTACGTAAGAGGAGGTTATAAAGGGACAATAGCGAGTCGAAAAATATGATCCAGTTGAGCAATGTACTTTCTGCTATACTAAAACCTGTAGGACCAGAAGGAATAGTTATTGAATCTCTAAGAACTCGAGTGAAGAATTCTGCAAGGTTAAGTGGATAACCACACTTGGGTCCTATATGCGTGTTTCATAAACAAAAAAACACTAACGACAGGAGAGTTTTAGTCAACGGAGCCTATTGTTTAATTTAATAGAGGGTGAGAACATTGAAAATGTTGATGTGTAGTTTAGAGCGCGGTTTTAGAAGAACAAGAATGTTGTCCCATGAACTCGAATCGTTATCGACAATTGCAGAGATAGAAGAAATTGAAGATGATGTGGAAATATTACCAGATATATAAAAAAAGGTCAGTCATAATCAGAGGTGGTATGACTGTAGACAGACATGAGACGCCAGTTACACTTCTCGGATGCTCACACCATCGAGACAGATAGGTAAGATTAGCATAGGATAGCAAATTGGTGCATAATAATAGAAGTTGCCACACTTCATAACACCACATCACATGCAAGAAAAGACTAAGATGAAAGATAAAAAAAAATAGGGAAGAAAATAGTCGAAAGTGGTATTATAAAAATACGAGCAGGAACTACAAACTACTGAGATTATTATTACGATATATATATAGTGGGGATACATCCGCGCTAATTAAATCAATCCTGACCCATGTCACCTAGAGTCTCTAACCTCTAGGTATCCGTAATCACGTGGACCGCCAACTAGGAAGTCTACATCCTCATAGATGACTTACACTGACAGTCAAAGATTTCATGTACTGATGACATGTTTTAGTCTGATCACCTTCAATCATTTTCCAAACTTAATATTAGTCAGTTAACATTGTGTGATGGTAACTAGGCATGTGTAGCATATGTCTCAGTCATCTCAGTCTACGAAGGTTCACAATTTCATCGATTGACTATCATTTTCTCTCCAGAACTCTACACCAAACCTCTACATTACAGATGCGGTGTCACATCGTGAGAGATTACACATCTATTGTCTACAATTGTAGAAAGTACTACTCGAAGTTATATCATGTTGACCGGTCATGGTAGTGAAAGTGTTTAAAACAAACTCCTTTTGAGTACAAAGATTAGATTTGTCTGTATAGGTTGATTGCAATTGCCTCTGTTATGTGGTAAATTAATTGGAATGTGATGAATAATTTTTAAAGCTCCAAGAAGATTTGTAGAGTATAGTCCTCAAAGATACCTTTGAATTCGTTGAAAAGATTGAACATCTGAAAGTTAATGATATCGTGTGATGTTTCATCTCTTCTTACTAACCTTTATTTGCAATCAACTTACTAAGCACGGCATGCAAATAGATATTTCAGTCTCCACGTTGAAATAACTACTTCCGAAGTCTACGATGAATGCACAATTCCTTTTCAACAATGAACTCTATAGGCTGTCTGATGGTGTAACTATGGGGTCACCTCTTGGCCTTCTCTTAGCAGATTTTTTTCTGGTAAAACTAAAGAATGGTCCACTGGACGAAACTATTAGCTGGTTTGAATTCTATTGTCGTTACATGAATGATATCTTTATGGTTGTCAAAAACAAGATTGACAAGAATGCTGTTCTCAATAAGTTCAGTGTAGTGTTCATCCAGCAATGGAAGAGGAGAAAAATTACAGTATCTCATTTCTTGATGTTCTGTTGGTAAGAAGGTTAGATGGAAATCTGAAACGAAGTGTTTATAGAAAACCAACATCGGCAGGTTAATACACACAGTTTTTTAGTGCCGTACCCCTGCAATACAAAAAGAACTTGGTGAAATGTTCAGCATACCGCGCCACACCTATTTGCTCAGATGATGCTATAGAAGAAGAGTTCGTCATCATCCATGACCTGCTTAGTAGGAATAGCTGTCGAGACAAGTTTGTGACTTAGCATATGAATATTACGAGGGTTAAGACAAGAACGCCAACAGTTCCTAAGAAGCAGATCTTCTTGAACCTGACAGTCAAGAGTGACATTGCCAGTGAGATCACACAACGCATAAAAGTTTTGCATAAAGCATTTCTAGCCGCTAAATTGTCCAATCTTCTACAAATGTGCAATTCTAGGTGCAAGAAATAAAGACAAACTGCCTAGTTCTGCCACTTATATGTGCATTTATCACTTCAACTACTCCTACGAAGCTAATTACATTCAGCGTACAATGAAGCAAGTCCATCATCGAATATCTAAGCACCACCCATCATGATTGAGCAAGAGACAAATAAGAACATTAAAGAGCTCCATACTTGCACACCGATCCGGATTTTCAACACCAACGTCAAGTCAGTGCTTCTGTATGGCTCAGAGACTTGGCGTGTCACGGAAAGCACTTCCAACAAACTATAGACATTCATCAACAGCTCCTGCCTACGCTGACTCGATACTGAAGCTCAGATGTATTGCCAG